CTAAATTTCCGACATATCTCAAATGTCTTTTTTAAGTTGTCTAAATAATGTCTTTCTGTTATTCCTATCACCACTATGTCATCCATATACAGAAATGCTTTCTCCGGTATTAAACTTGTAAATGCTATTGACATCATTCTTGGAAAGCTATTTGGGCTTATGTTTAGTCCAAAAGGTAGTCTGGTGAATTAAAATGCTCCTTTTTCAGTACTTAAAGAAGTGTATTTCCTTGATTATTTTTCTAATGGTATCTGGTGGAACTTTGACATTAAGTCTATTACTGAGAACCATTTGGCTCTTCCTAGTTGGTCTAATATTGAGTCTATTCTTGGTAACAGAAATTTATCTGTGACTAGTTTCTTGTTTAGCTTTCTGAAATCTATACATAATCTCCATGCTCTGTTTCCATCTATAGCTTTTTTCGGCACTAGTACGACCGGGCTGCTGTATTCTGATGTCGATGACTCGACAATTCCTTGGTCTATTAATTGTTGTACTTCTCTATTTAGTTCTTCTGTTTGCGAATGTGGTGTCTTATAATTCTTTATGTAAACTGGTGTGTGTGTTCCTTTACTTTCAATTTTTGTTCATAAAAGTTGTTGCATGTTAGCATGCCATGTGTTAATGCAATAAACATATTGTATAACGATATTAATCTTAATATCTTTACGCAATATGCTTATTGCATATAATCTTTGCATAAGGATACTAATTTATCTCGTGTGTATTCCGGGATATCTAGCTTTAATGTTTCCCTTAGGTTTTTCTTCCTATTCTTGCTGTCTGTTATTTTTTTATATTATCGCTCTCGCTATGTATATTCCAGGTAGTATTTTCTGTTGTTCTACTTATGTATCTGCCTTTAGCGTTTGAAAATATTGAACTCTTCTGTAAACTTCACATCTGTGTGGTATTAAAATTGTATTATCCTCTACAGTATCCAAAATATTTGTACTGATGTAATAGTTTCTATCATTCTTGATGTGTATTTTTAAACTCGCTTAATCTAATATGCATTGATAATTTATGATATTCCTTTCCAATTATTCCGTCCGTTGAAATAGAAAAGTTGTTTTCTACCAATTGAATGGTATGCCCAAAAATATTGCCACTTACGTCTAGTGTAGTTTCGATTTCTCCCATTGTTTGCAGTTCTCCTCGGGTTACTCCTTTTATTCTTGTTTTTGTATTTGGTCTTACATGTGCTCGCATAGAGTCTTGTGTGCATTTAAGTATTGAAATATCCGCTCTTGTGACTATAATAAATGTATTTACTCGTCCTAAGATTCCTGTTTTTATCCTTAAGAAGTTTGTTAGGATTAAGTCGAAGTTGTACATATAGTATTCTAACTATGACATCTGTTCATCCGGCTTATATGAGAATTGGTTGTTCAAAACCCGAACTGTGGGTTTTCTGATTTCTGCTAACTATCTTCTAGTTTCAATAATCGTACATTTACGTTGAATTTCCTTGAATTTCTTCCATGTGATTGATTATTGAATTGTCTGTACCCTTTCAGTTCATGTGGACGGTGATCTCTTTTTAAATTGTTTTGTTAAGAGAAATTTGGATCTTCTCCTTTAGTCATATCCATTACGATATCCTCATTTGTGCTGGAATTTTCCTCTTTTGTTGTTAAAGTACGTTCTATAATTTAACACTCTTTGTCAATCTGTTGAGTTATCAGATTTGGAACTAATATTCTGGAATTTATGGCTTGGAACGATCGTACGACTTTATCTCGGTTTAACTAAAGTATCTCTTACAAGTCTCTCTCTGAATATCAGGTAAGGCTTCCCAATTAATTGTGTCGTTATCTTAATCTTTACCTCCTTGCTTTTAGGCATCTCCTTTTTCAACACTCTTTTGCTCTGTTTAGTTATATCCTGCGTAATGGTGTCAAATATTTTAACAAAATCTTCCCAACTGCTAGGCATTTGGAAATGAAAACACAAATCCGACAGTCTTATGTAGTACGATAAAATTCGAGAAGCAATTACTTAACAAAAAAAATATCTATTCAAAAATATAAGATCGTCAAATATCCATTAAAATTCAACAAGTTAATAAATTAAAAATTTTTCTATACAAAAATATAAGCAAAATTATCATCTAAAGTCATAAAAATAATAATTATTAATCAAGAAATTAACTGTTATATTATTATGCGTGTAAGGAAGTGCAATAAACATTGATATGCAGACTCACCACTTAAACGACTAAATTTGTTGTCGAGCTTGCTGCTATGTCTAGGTGTATGCTCCGCTTTATATTTCTCCTAGGCACCTTCCATAGTGACCATATTAACTTCAGTATCAGGACTGTTAGATGTCTATTTGCGGCTGGAAAACTTGACAACGCAATTCAAGAAATGAAAAGAATGAAAATAGACCTACTGGGAATCAGCGAAATGAGATCGCCAGAGTCAGGATCATGTAAAAAGACGGAAGTGTATTATATTATTTCGGTATTTTAGGTATTTTAGTAACATCAGAACTGAGTTAATATGTGACCAATTTTGTACCAGTCTCGGATAGAATAATATTAATACAAATAAATACTTAACCATTTAAAACGAACATACTTTAAATCTATGCCCCGACTGCAGATAGAAAATATGACGATAAAGTCGAGAAGTTGTATGATCAGATCCAAGACATCTTACAGAGACTTAATAAACACGAAATTTTATATATTATAGGCGACTTCAATGCAAAAATTGGAGAAGGTCGACGAGGTCAGACTGTAGGTCTTTATGGTTTAGGACAACCTAACGATCGAGGATAGAGATTGTATGAATTCTGTAAAGAAAACGATATGATCATTGCAAACACCTGGTATAAACTACCCAAGCGACGACTATACACTTGGAAAGCCTTATTTGATGATGGAACTAACCCTGAGTCTTCAAGAAATCAAATAGACTATATACTTGTAAATGAGCGTTTCCGAAATGCCGTCAAAAAAGTCACTACATATCCTGGAGCAGATATTGGATCTGATCATCAACCACTCGTAGCAGATATTAAACTAAGGTTAAAACGAATTCAGCGACAAACACCAAAAACCAATGTACTTAACTTTGACGATATAAACATAAAACACAACATTAAAAAAGAATTTAGCAATATAATAAAAAACATTGGAGAACAACTAGAAGATCCAGAAGAACTATGGATTGAATTTAAAAACCAAGTTAACGAAATCTCCATAAACAATGATTATAGGAAAAACTTAATCAAGAAAAATAACTGGATGACAGACGATATTTTGAAATTAATGAAACAACGTAGACTGATAAAATCTAATTTGACAGAATATAGACCTGTAGAGAAGAATAAAAAAGGAGATCAAATTAGCCAAAGAAAATGGATGAGAGAAAGGTGCGACGTAATGGAGGATGTAATATCTAAACACGACTTATTTAGTGTGCACAAAAAACTGAAAGAAATGAGTAATATATTTAAAAAACAAGTTCCCTTTGTGCTTGTTGACACTAATAACAAAATTATTGTAAATAAGCAAGAAGTAAGAAAAGAATGGTAGCTGTATATACCAGAGATGTTTGAAGATGACAGGAATAATATTGCCGAATTCTACCAAAACTGTACTGACAGCTCAGAAATTATAAAATGCGAAGTAGAACATGCTATAAATAATGCTAAAATTAGAAAAGCTTGTGGTCCAGATGATATACAAACTGAGTTGCTAAAACCAATAGAGAATGATAACATAAAAGTAGTAGTAATGACTTTTTAATTCATATATAACACCAGAGTGATTCCCGCAGGTTGGCTGAAATCCATCTTTATCGCAATACCTAAAAAACACAATGCGAGAAAATGCTCAAAATATCGATTAATTAGCCTAATGAGCCACATTCTTAAAATTTTCCTCTTCTGTTGTGAATTAGACGCAATTTCATTTTAGAAATGCTATGGGAACCAGGGAGGCACTTTTTGCGCTTAACATCCTATTACAAAAATGCCGTGACCAAAGAAAAGATATATTTGCATGTTTCGTGGCCTTCGAAAAGGCATTCGATAAAGTACAGAATGTAAAGTTAATGCAAATACTGAAAAATATCGGAATAAATGACAAGGATATTCGTGTCATTAAAAATTGCTATCTTAAAAATTAAGGATAACTACACCGATGAAATCCCCATACAACCAAGAGTCAGACAAGGTTACGCCAACATTGTTCAATGTTTGCTCGGAGCAATTATTTAAAAAGGCACTTGAGTGACAACCATATGGAATAAAAATTAACGGAGAACTACTTAATGTGATTAGATATGCAGACGATACAGTAATTCTATCAGATAATATTGAAGGTCTTCAAATTCTGCTAATCGTCTCACGAGGTAGGAGAGGAAATGGGTATTAAAATAAACTTAAACAAAACCAAATGTTTAGTGTTTTGTCGTGACCTACATCCCGATGCAAAGCTTCAATTGAACGGAGTCCAAGTTGAGAAAGTTCACAAAATGACATGTTTGTTTTTTTTAATTGTTTCATCTTATTTATTGTTCAAAGATATGTGCTCAAAGATATTTAAATTTTAACATGTATTTTATTGATTTACGTATATATCAGCAATAATGTTATTTTAATGTCAATTTTATTTATGTGTAAAATCTTTTAATTTCTGTAAGTATTGCAAATCTAAGTGTTTGTCAGTGTTTGTTTTTTACAGTTACTCCCGATGAAGCTATTAAATAAATGGCGAAATATTGAGCTTTAGAAAAAAAAAATATTTAATATAGACCACATACCCGATATTTCCAACATACTTATAAATTGTTTTTTAGTCGAAATAATCACGTTAGATATATATATATATATATATATATATATATATATATATATATTATATATATATATATATATATATTATATATATATATTATATATATATATATATATATATATATATATATATATATATATATATATATATATAATAATTTTATAATTAAAAAAAAAACTACCCTTACCCCCCTGTAAGATGGCGCAACAATCAGGTAAGTGTCAATGTTGTGGTCCTTTAAATATGAATTTCTCTCGCCTCCATTTCCGGGCTCCACGACATAGTCATTTCCCAGACAGCTTAATGTTTCTTTGGTTATATGGACCCTTCTGAAAAAGATATCAGTAAAATATTTTATAAGCTTTGAACAATTTATACCATAAAATATATTAATATGAAATTTAAAAGTGAAATTCTTAGTGGTAGTATACCATAGTTTAAAAAAAACAACCACTTAAAAATAAATAGAAAAGGGCTAAAATTTTGACTGTGAAAATGCTGTTATTCCTTACGTCTAGTATTTGAAACTAGCCACCTAATGAGGTCAAATGACCCTTAAATTTCATAATTTTAGTAATTAACATTATAATCAATAATACTTTAGGTCGATGAAAAAGTATTAAATATATTAAGGAAACGTACAATTTCTCAGTTTGAAAAGACAACCTTATAACCTGGGAGGTAACAACTCACTGTTGGCAAACAGAAGTAAATATTGTTTTAAAAAAAGGTCAAGTGATACTAGGGTATCATTGATGGTCATTGAAGCGAAAAATACGGTCTTACCTCCGAATTATTTTACTGTTAACCAATTTGCATAAAATTTTTGAATTAGGATCATCTTACCCTTAACTTGAAAAGTAAAAATGATCTGAACTCCGCCTATTATTTTTAAGGGGTGTGAACAACCCCTTAATGGAAAAATTGACATTGAGCCATTTATCGCTAGAAATCACGTCTAATAGTAAGTGGTGAAATTATAAAGTATTTTCTAACACAATTACCTCATATTAAAATCATTTTCAATCCCTTGAAAATCTTATAACCCTTGGAAACAACGCCTAAATTGAAAAAATCACACAAAAATACTTTGGTATGACATAAAAAGATGTAAGTATAGAGTAAGTAATATCTTATATTCCCTATAATATTAATTAAATTTTTAACCCCTTTCAACCCTTGAAAATTACCCCTTAATAAAAAAATTTTAAAACATTTTTTTTTTGATAAAATGAAAAGGATTTAAATATTATTCCACACTTTTGAAAATGATTATCATATTTTTAAGCTTTTCTACCCTTAAAACTGCCCCTAAATTAAAACAGTAAATATAGGTATATGATTATATGATTACATATTTGAAAATAATTTAATTTAGAGTAAAAAATTGCCATTTATTGAATAAAATATTTACAAATTATATAAAATTGTGTAATATAAATTATATAAAATAATATTATTAAAATATAATATTACTATTCATGACATACATTATAAATCTATATTATATATATATATATATATATATAAACTTTAAATATTGAGGTATGCAGCAATAAAAATGAAAGGTGTACTCTTTTAAATTTTTAATCCAAGCAAAGAGTACACCTTTACTTCCTTACGTGGTCAGCAAATACTTCTGGTTCATTATATATATATATATATATATATATATATATATATATATATATATATATATATACATTACAATAGTTTTGGGTCTCTATTATACTGCGTACTTTTACATTGCTCCAAATATTCATACTCCGAAATTTTCAGTTACTAAGTAGAAAAAAATATGATAAGTTTTTGGACCCTTTATTGTAATATATAGTAAAAAACCTTTTTTTAAAATGGTGAATGGTTAAAGGGCTTAAGAGAGACTGTGATTGCGCTGCCATGCGCTCCTAATACCTAAATTTTTTATTCCTACACTTTTATACGTATCTGTCCTCATTTTTGAGATATGAAAAAAGGTGTTTTTTTTTTAAATTAGATTTTTTTAATCGTGACTTTTTTGAAAAATTTGTATTCTGAAGCAGCTAAACTAATACAATCTATCAACCTCTTCATAATAAAGTTAACTCTAGACGGAATACGATTAATTTTGATTTTCTTGGAAATGGCACTTTTGAAACCCATTGATTTAAAAGAAAAAACATTAGATTCTCGTCTTATTTGCAATACAGCTCACTTATTTTACGTGCATATGACTTTTAATAGAGCTCATTTTAAAGCTTATTTCAAGAACTACAAAACTCTTTTTTATTACAATGCCTAAAATGCATCTGCTCGCCGCTAAATGGCATTGGCCACGTCGATTAAATTTCAGACACAATAAAAACGGCTTTGATCTTTAATATCTAGCTTAATATTGCACTTATACTTTACTTTATAACATATTTTATAAAAAATTAAATTGTTCAGTTTTTTATCTGCTGCAATTTTGTTTTTTGTAAAATTTTCGATAAACCGTATATTTTTGGAGATATTTGCGAACAACCGAAAAACGTGAAAATATTGCGATTTTTCAATTGCTAATAACTTGATAAGTATTGGATTTTCCGAAAAATTTTATGAATGTTTTTTGCTTAAAATTAGGTTTCATATCGATATCTGAGGTTATTAAAAAAAATTTACCCCCGAGAAGGTTTGGCAACCACCCCAGAGTAGTTGCGGAGTTCAAATCATTTTCACTTTTAAAGTTAAGGGTAAGATGAAATTAATTCCAAAATTGGATGCAATTCGGTTCACAGTAAAAAAATTCGGAGCAATAATGCTTCAATGACTGTACCATATGAAGTTTTTTAAAAACTCATTAAATAGTATAATATGCTCAAAAGGAGTGATATTTATTATTCAATTTTAATTTATATCTTTTAAATGATATATAATAAAATCTTATTTTTATTTGTTGCCAAAGAAAAAAAAATAATTGTTTTAAGGAGATTAGATAAATATTTCTTTTTATATGATAACGTCATTTAATAAACTGATTTATTAAAATGAGGAATTTATAAAATAATCAATAATGATAGGTTTAATTTACAGAATATACTAGAATAAATTATTTGTGGCATTATTTGTTTTATTTATTATATTTTTTGGTAATTGATCAAATTTAAATAAAATACTGTTTTAAAAATCTATTCCCTTAAGAACTATTTTTTAAAGATAAAATTAACCAAGGTAATAGCAAATATTAAGCATTTATAAAGCAATAACAAAAGAAGATGACACAGAAATTATAGGAAATGAAGTTTATATGAAAGATACAAGACAGTAGTTACGAGTTTAAAAAATTATCATTTTAATCACAACAATTATAATGTTCAACATAAGTCAATCTAAGGTTGAATGTTCGAATAATTGAACTTTGATGGTATACAAGGCAAATATCGAACACAGTAATTAATTAAATCTTGCCCAAGTACTTTCGATCAATAGGCCACAACTGACGAAATGCCCCTGAGGATGATATTGATCAAAAGTACTTGGGCAAGATTTAATTAATTACTGTGTTCGATATTTGCCTTGTATACCATCAAAGTTCAATTATAATGTTGCCACAAAAATAGATAATGTGGCATACTAATAAGCATAGGTGATAATATTCTGACAACATTAGAAAAAACAAATGACGAATTAAAAAAGCATATATACAAAACCTATACATTTAATATACAGTGTGTAAAATCCAAATGGAATAAATTCATTATTTAGGTTACTGTACATATTTATAAAAAATCCCGAAACACGTCAAATTTAAATTATAACTTAACATTCTTTACCGTAAAAATGCAACCCCTACCTTCAACCCCCTTAGAATGACAGGTACAACCCCCAATTTTTAAAATAGGAAGTATAGGCTTGTGATATATCGTTTGAAAGGTCTTTTCATTTTCCATTCAAAAATGTTAGGCCTAGGCTGTCGACTCCATGTCCGGAAAAGAGTGTGTGCTCAGTCACTCGGCCTCCGATTTGACAAAATAAATTTTGTTCTCCTCGCAGGCTGGGCGCCCGAGGTGTGTCCGGCCACCGAGCCCATGCTTGCCGCCGCACATGACCTTAGTGCTCGGGTGTCGCGAAAGGATCAGCATTCACTTGATCCGCCTTAAGGGCCTAGTCCGCATCAGCGGTATATAGAATGCAAGGCCTGACGGGCCTTCTATATGGAAAAGTTAAAGGTAATTTACGTTAAAACGTTGAGTGAAATAAAATTGGTTTTAATAGTACTGAATTTAAAAGAAAAACAACCGATTTTTTTTGGGGGGTCTTCCTTGTGGGGTTGGAACTGTAAAATGCCGGTACAATTCTTGCCCTTTTATTTATTACATGCTATGGTGTATGGGGTGTGTTGGGGTGTGCATTGCAGGGTGTATAGGGCCTCCACACACCCCGGTGTATTTTGTCCTTAACTAAGTGCCTTGGCACCTGTATCCTCTGGCCAGAGTCCTAAAAAGTAGATTTTTTTTGGTGGTTGTTTTTCTGATAATTGCATTCTTTTATTTGACGTCTTTGCGACCATCTCATACTTCATTTATTCATTTGGGACCCTATATCCGGCTATTTGCTGTTTAGGTCTTCTGTGTACAGCGCTGGTATTTGCGTTGTAATTAGTCAGCTCTTTTAACATGCTACTTGGGTGGTTGTTTAGTCCGTTGAATAGTTCGTATGCCTTCTTGTCTAACATGTGTAGGATCCTTGTTTGTCCTGAGTCTGTGTATAAATTTCTCGAAGGTACGTATCTTGGTAGGTTCAGGGCATCTCTTGTTAATTGATTCTGCGCTGTTTCTATTTTCTTCCTGTTTGTTTTGCAGGTGTGTCCCCACGCGGCATAGGCATATGAGAGGACAGGCAGGATAATACTATTCGCAATCCTGATTTTGGTTTTCAACCTTAATTTGCTATTTCTGCCAATAAGCGTTGAGAATTAATTTTTCAGCGCTTTGGCTCTATACATTTGCTGATTTGTGTGCTGCGTAAAGGTGAGTTTCTTGTCTAGTAATACCCCTAGGTATTTGGCCTCGTTTGTCCATTCTACTGAAGTGTTCCCAATCGTTATTTCTCGCTTCGGTACACTTCTTCTGTGACTAAACATTACAGCCTGTGTTTTACCTGGGTTTAAGGCTATTTTCCATTTGATGCTCCATCCTTCGAATCTATTAAGTGCTCTCTGCAGATGATTAGCTGCATGATCTGGATTTCTCCAGCTAACAGCTATTGCTGTGTCGTCAGCGTAAAGACTCAGCAGGGATCCTTATTCTTTTGGCGTGTCGGCCGTATAGATGGTATACAGGTACGGCGACAGCACAACTCCCTGAGGCAC